GTGCAGGAAGGATTGCCTGAAGCACTAGGTTTTACGTTTGATGTGTTCTCTTGGCACTCCTGCAGAGCCTTCTTTACTATCTCTCTTTTAGGCATTGAAACAGTCTGTTTATCCGTGTCTTCCCAACTAAAGTCTTCAGTGATGGGCATCATACTTTAGTTATTTTTATATGTCTCATCTCTAGAATAATGTATAGTGTATAGTGGACACCCAGCAGATACTTAATAAATTGAAAAATTGAACACAGTAAGCCTACATCAGCAATTCTTTCAGAAATACTACAGTTAATAAGGAGTTTCAGTGGCAATTTTCTTCTTAAATTAGGCATATGGCAAGTTAAATGAGGTGCTGTAAAGCAGTATTTTGAGAAATACTTTCTTGTTCAGGAAAGAATATGCAATACGGAGAATTAAGCTCATTATATCTCTGTGTTTCCTGACCTTTAGGCGTGCCTTAACTTCATTTTTAATTTTTGAGAGCATTCATGTGAGCTAAGGTACCACACTGAAATGGGAAGACATCAATGCTTTCTCACTCCTCCAATAAACAGAAGAAATGTCAAAATTAGATTAACAGCATGGCTCATACCCTATTCTAATAAATACCATGCATTTTCCGGTTCAGAAATCAATGACAGACATACCTTGGATATATTGCAGGTTTGGTTCCAGACTACCACAATAAATCAAATATTGCAATAAAGCAAGTTAAACATTTTTTTGGTTTGCCAGTACACATAAACATTATGTTTACACTATATTCTAGCAAGTGTGAAATGGCATTATGCCCAAAAAAGTACATGCCCTAATTAAAAATACTTTATTGCTAAAAAACAAAAAAACAAAAAAAAAAAACAAAAAACAACAACAACAACAAAAAAAAAAACCACTGAAGATCATCTGAGCCTTCAGCAAGTTGTAATCTTTTTCGCTGGTAGAGGGTCTTGCCTTGAACTCAATGGCTACTGACTGATTGGGGTGGTGGTTGTTGAAGGGTGGGGCAGCTCCGGCAATTTCTTAAGAAAACAATGAGGTTTGCTCTGTCAGTCGATTCTTCCTTCCACAAAGTATTTCTCTGCAGCATGTGATGCTGTTAAGTAGCATTTAGCTACAATGGAACTTCTTTCAAAATTGGAGTCAATCCTCTTAAAACCTACCACCGCTTTATTAAGTTTATATAATATTCTAATTTTTTGTTATGATTTCGATAGTATTCGTAGTATCTTCACCAAAAGTAGATGTTATCTCAAGAAATAACCTGCTTTTTTCATCTGTAAGAAGTAAGTCCCCATTTGTTCAAGTTTTATCATGAAATTGCAGCAATTCAGTCGATCTTAGGGCTTTACTTCTAATTTCAGTTTTCTTGTTATTTCCACCCCTCTGCAATTACTTCCTCCATTGAAATCTTGAGTCCCTCAATATATTCCAACCCGTGAGGGTTGGAATAACTTCTTCCAAATTCCTATTTTTATCTTTTGACCTCCTCTCATGAATCACTAGTGTTCTTAATAGCATCTAAAATGATAAATCCTTTCCATAAGGTTTTCAATTTACTTTGTCAAGAATCATCATAGAACTCACTATCTTTGAGAGCTATAGCCTTACAAAATGTATTTCTTAAATAAGAAGACTTGAAAGGCAAAATTACGTTTTTGATCCATGGACTTCAGAATGGATGTTGTGTTGGCAGTCAAGGAAACAACATTCATTTCTTTATACATCTCCATCTGAGCTCTTGGGTGACTAGGTGCATTGTCAAAGAGCAGTAATATTTGGAAAGGAATTTTTTTTTTTCATGAGCAGTGGGTCTCGACGGTAGACTTAAAATATTTAGTAAACCTGCAGGGTGTGGTGGCTCACGCCTATAATCTCAGCACTTTGAGAGGCTGAGGTGGGCAAATCATGAGGTCAGGAGTTTGAGACCAGCCTGACCAACATGGTGAAACCCCATCTCTACTAAAAATACAAAAATTATCCGGACGTGGTGGCATGCACCTGTAATACCAGCTACTCAGGAGGCTGAGGCAGGAGAATTGCTTGAACCTGGGAGGCGGAGGCTGCGGTGAGCCAAGATCACACCATTGCAGCCTGGGTGACAGAGTGAGACTCTGTCTCAAAAAAAAAAAAAAAAAATTAATAAGCCATGCTGTAAACAGATGTGCTGTCATACAGGCTTTGTTGTAACATTTATAAAGCAACAGGCAGAGTAGATTTAGCAAAATTCCTAAGGACACTAGGATTTTTATAATGGTTAATGAACACTGGCTTCAACTTCAAATCACCACTTGTATCAGCTTCTGCTAAGAGAGTCGGACTGTTTTTTGAAGCTTTGAAGCCAGGCATTGACTTCTCCTTTCTAGATGTAAATGTCCTTGATGGCATCTTCTTCCAATAGAAGGCTGTTCTACATACATTTAAAATCTGTTGTTTAGTGTAGCCACCTTTATCGATGATCTTATCTAGATCTTTTGATAACTTTCTGCAGATTCTACATAAGTACTCCCTGCTTTGCCTTGCACGTTAATGTTATAGAGAAGACTTATTTCCTTAAACCTCATAAACGAACCTCTGCTAGGTCACATTTTTCTTCTACAGTTTCCTTACTTCTCTCCACCTTCATAGAATTGAAGACAGCTAGGGTCATATTCTGGATCAGGCTTTGGCTCAAAGGAATGTTGTGCCTGGTTTTATCTTCTATCCAGACCACTGAAGTTTCTCTATAACCACAATAAGACTCATTTGCTTTTAAACCATTCCTGTCTTCACTGGAGTAGCACTTTCAATTTCCTTCAAGGACTCCTTTGCATTCACAGCTTGGCTGTTTGGCATGAGAGGCCTGGCTTTTAGACTATCTTGGCTTTAGGCATGCCTTCTTCACTGAGCTTAATCATTTCTAGCTTTTAATTAAAAGTGAGATATGTGTGACTCTTTCATTTGAACAGTTAGAGGCCACTGTAGAATTATTAATTGACTGATTTTCATTATTGTTGTGTCTCAGGGACTAGGGAAGGCCCAAGGATCAGGAGACAGATGGGGGAATGGCTGGTTAGTGAAGCAGTCAGGACACACAATGTTTATTGATTAAGTTTACCCTTTTATATGGGTGCAGTTCATTGTGCCTCAAAATAATTCATTGTGATTCAAAATAATTTCAATAGTAACATCAAGTATCACTGTTCATACATCACCCTAACAGTTATAATATTAATTAAACATTTTGAAATATTACAATAATTGCCAAGACGTGACACAAATATGAAGTGAGCACTCACTGTTGGAAATATGATGCTGATGAACTTGCTTGACACAGGGTTGCAACAAACTTTCAATTTGTAAAAACGGCACTAGGGATGAAGTACAATAAAGTGAAGAGCTGTAAATTAAGGTATACCTGTACCTTAATTTCAATAGTAACATCAAGTATCACTGTTCATACATCACCCTAACAGTTATAATATTAATTAAACATTTTGAAATATTACAATAATTGCCAAGACGTGACACAAATATGAAGTGAGCACTCACTGTTGGAAATATGATGCTGATGAACTTGCTTGACACAGGGTTGCAACAAACTTTCAATTTGTAAAAACGGCACTAGGGATGAAGTACAATAAAGTGAAGAGCTGTAAATTAAGGTATACCTGTACTAACAGGTATAGACTAGTATGGAATGATATATTTCAGATATATTTCACTTGTAAATGCAAGTGATCTAGAACTGAAATAACATACAAACTGCTACAGTTTCAAATAATCAGCATGTCAAAATAAATAGTTTGTTATGTTGAGATACACATCCCTTTACTGACTTTTCACCATGAACACTTTCTTTGGAGTGGGGATTCCAAGGGACTGACTAACAATGATGCCATCTGCTTTCAGCCATTGTTTGAAATGACCTCTCTTTGGTACCAGGCTAGAATAAAATGATGACAAATATTTTGTGTATTGTACCTTTTGATTAGCAAAATCTTTTCCCATGAAATGTTCTATTTAAAATTGGTAAGACTATATAATGATAATCATATGGGAAACATTAATGACCTGGTTCAAACATCAATCTAAAACTTTCTATTTTAATTTGGACAAATTCCTTCATGTCTCTATGCTTTCTGTTTTCTTATATACATTGAGAATAATGTCTATCAAATGGTCATATTTTAAAATGTTAATGATTGTGATGATTGAAAACACATGTTGGAAAAAGAATTTCACTTAATATCAATCCATATATCTACTGTTACTTAAAGATTTAAATACATGCATTTTTTATTTTGCTATTCATTTTCTTGGAATTTTTAGTCCAGTTGCTTCACATAGGGCGACATACATTATTATCAAATCTGTCACATAATAAACGTGATAAAGAGACATCATTATCCAAGGTCACTATTTTTTTTTTTTAATGTTGACTGATATATAGTAAAATAACAATGAAACAATAAAATACACAACAAAATAAAACAACAATGACCATTTTATATGTGCTTGAGGAAAATATTTTTGCATAATCACCAAATTGTCAGTTAAAAAATTTACCTTTTGTTTCCATGATGTTATTTTTCTATCTTTGGAAACAAAGATTCTACCTCTGTTTTGGCCTGGGTTCTTTGTAGTTGTTTCCAGGTGCTTCTCTCAACCCTATTTTCACAGTCATAGCCAACGTTAAGGAATTTTTTACTGCTTTGAAAAGTTTTAATATTCAGCAGGTTAAGGAAACTCATGGTCAGCTTTAGAATTTTAGTCTTTGCTGAGCTTTCAAGGTGCCAAGACCCTAAAATAATATGAACAGCAGGAGTACTAAATCTTTTATTATTTCCAGTTTCCCCTTGAGCATACTGACTTTGCAATAAAGAAGCTGTCATTTACACTCTTCTTTATTGCAAGGTGGGTAATAGCTACACGGAGAAAAATAAGGAACTGTGTCAAGTTAGCCTAAGTGCCATTATGATTAATGTGTAATCATTGCACATTTGCATCTACTCTTTTCATATACAGGTACTTCATAGATTGGAAGAGTGATGGGGACAGCTACTTTACAATAGATGGAAATGAAGGAACCATCGCCACTAATGAATTACTAGACAGAGAAAGCACTGCGCAGTATAATTTCTCCATAATTGCGAGTAAAGTTAGTAAGTATGGCATGGACAGAATCAATGTTATGCTGCAGTTCTTTGGATTTAAGACTCTTAAACGAGTCCCTGCTGAGATGTTTTTCATTTTTGGACTGACAGCTGAGTGGTCTCGCGGGGAAACTCAGAAACCTGTTTCTTTTCCTCACAGCGTAAGTCCGGAGAAATTGTGACAGCTGCCAATGAGTCCTGTTTGCAGGATTGCATGAATATCTAGTAGTGCATTTCATTGTGTGACCTCATCCTTTTCTATGCTCTACCCTCAAAAATTCACCCGAGTATCAATTTCTCTTCCACACGGGTTCCTTGTACATATCGTTGGGAATTTCACAGGGCCAGGCAAGGCGAAATAATTATCATATATAATCACCCATTCTGAAATATTTTCTGACATCGAAGAGAGTACTTAAAAACTCATACATCTTCCCTTTCTCTCCCTTTATTCAAATTTATTTTTGATTACTATCGCTGTGGAATATACAGGAGTTTCAATTGCAATTCTTCAAGGAGTGGCTCAAAATGTTTACAATTATTAGGAATTATTTCTTGAATTGGTTTCTGCTTGGTTCAGAAGAGAATCCTCTAGACTGAGAGTGCTTATAGGTTTTATTTGTTTGACAGAACAATCAAGATTATTATCACAACTTTCTCAAGTAATGTATGGGGGTGAGAGTGGTGACGTTTGGCTCTTGAGATAGTTGTTTTTAATAAAAGTGCATCTCCCCATTCCTTTTACTTATGGTCTCTTGAAAGGTTTGGAAAAATCTCAACTGGATCTCTTCCATTTGCTTCCTTCTTATTTTATTTTGTGCATCTGGTGCAAATTTATAACACTTTAGCAGCTAATTCCAACTTTCCATGCGGGGAATAGCTGTGAGCATTTCTGCTGAAGGGTTTTGATCAGTCCAACTCAGTGGGGATGTAAACAGGAAAAAGTTTGGTTTATCTTCAACAACTCCGTACAAACATAAATAGTCAGATATCCATTCCCACAACCTCATGACATCTTTAGCTGATCCCATTAGTTTTAGGTTATTTTGATTATTAAAAGTAAGTCTAACAAAAAAGATCATGCAGCTTCTGCCTTGCTCGTTGGAACAGTTATTGTTCCCAAGTATCATGTAAGAAGTCTGACTACCCAGAGGCTGCCATACTAGAGAGGTCACATTGTGGTGCTCTAGTTGACAACTCCAGCTCAGCTCTGCCTTCCAACCATACCTCCCAGTGTTGTGGAAATGTAAGTGATGCTGTCTTGGAGCCTGTAGTCCAGTCCACTTTACTAGTGGAATACCACAGTGTAAACTTCATCAATGCCATGTGAAATGGAATATTAACCCAGCCAAATCCTGCCCAAATTCTTACCCACAAAATTGTAATAAATGTGAAAATTTATTCATCACAACTTTACAATATTTCACAATTATTAAAAGCAACTACATTTTGGTGTCTGCTGATACACGGGAACAGATATCTGAAGAACTCAAAGACAACATAACCAGAACCTTCATTCCTTGGGGGTGGGGCTATTGATTCTCCAGTTTCTTGCAGTAGAAAGGAAAGAGGGGAATTTTAAAAATGCATAAATCTCTATTAATGTAGTGCCAATATAGTGCTCCATTGGTTGCCACCTTTTTTTTTTTTATTTTTTAGATACATACAGTCTCGCTCTGTCTCCCAAGCCGGAGTACAGTGGTGTGATCTCGGCTCACTGCAACCTCCACCTTCTGGGTTCAAGTGATTCTCCTGCCTCAGCCCGCCAAGTAGCTGGTATTACAGGCAGGCACCACCACACCTGGCTAATTTTTGTACTTTTAGTAGAAACGGGGTTTCAACATCTTGGCCAGGCTGGTCTCGAACTCCTGACTTTAGGTGATCTACCTGCCTTGGCCTCCCAAAGTGCTGGGATTACAGGAGTGAACCACCGTGCCTGGCCTGGTTGCCGCCGTTTTTTTTTGTTTTTGTTTTTTGTTTTTTTCACAGAAATATTTTTTTTTAATTTTTTTTATTATTATACTTTAAGTTCTAGGGTACATGTGCATAACGTGCAGGTTTGTTACATATGTATACTTGTGCCATGTTGCTGTGCTGCACCCATCAACTCGTCATTTACATCAGGTACAACTCCCAATGCAATCCCTCCCCCCCCCCCCTCCCCATGATAGGCCCCGGTGTGTGATGTTGCCGCCGTTTTTAGGACTAAACTGGAATGGCAGTAAAGACAGTTGTTGAAATGCTAATTCTCATGTAATTTTGTGAATTATTTGCTGTTGGGGGCTCTAGGTGTCCCCTCCACATGGGAATCTGACATGGGCACCCAGTGGTAGACCTTATAACTTCTTAATTTCTAGGGCCCCCTTGCTTAGCAGGTGGCCTTTTTGGGTAAATTGATAGCATGATTTCTCAATTTTAGCTCCTTTTTCCTGTGTCCAGTTGACCATGGGAAATTCACTCATTTTCATGACATTAAAACCGGTGCATTATGGGTTGCCACTATATTGCAGGTTTCCTCTGCCTTGCCATCTTCTTTCATATCTGCCCTCTTTGGGCAGTAAGGCTTGGGAGGGTCAGCGAGTTAGCTTCCAAGCAGTCATATGGTAGGGAGAAGAGAATGACAGTCTCTCCTTCTTGAAGGGCTCCCATCCTTATTTTCTTTGTTTTCCCCAAGTCTCCTTTCACGCCTGGCGTCTTTCTCCCCTCCCATACCACATCCTATTATAGTTACATATGTTTTCCTCATTCATTTCATGCTTTCATTTATTTCATTTATACAGAATTTGGGGACAGCTAAAATGTATCAGAATTTTAAAAATCCTCTTTTGTTTTCTAAGATTTTTGAGAAATATGGTGAAAATGAGTTGTCTAAGTTACAGAATAGAAGACCTCTGTCAACCATGTTACTTTCACTCTAATGACAGGGATACAATAAGTGACAACTGACCAGTCACTTCAATAACTTCTACTTATCATAAACATATCATCCATAATAAAATATTATTAAGTAGAAAACTATCTAATCTAACCTAAACCATCCTATTAATACACAAACAGGTGCATATTTCCTTGATGTAGAGATAGTAGGCCCATGTGCCTTAATTCTAGATGGATGTTTCAGATAGTTTATTGATTGCTTCTACTATAGCTGTGGCAGGTCTCTTTCTCTCCAGGGACTCCCTGGGCTATGAAAGCAATTATCATAGTATTGAAGACACTCATAACAATAAGGTCTAGTGCCTTCTTTCAGAGCCTTGAGCTTCAACCATTTAGAAAATGGAAGGAAATATGAACGTTTATAGTGGAAGCAAGTGTCATTAGTCCCTGAAAGTTTAGATCTTAGAATCCTAATTTGTTAGTTATCAATATGATTGGTGCATATGCGGACTCTGTCACACTGCCACCTGCTGGCTAAAGTTGTTGCCTAAATGAAAATTAGGAATCCACAGGGCATGGATACTAATAAGTTATGTTGCCCCTCACTGGGTCATAGGCAGAGCCAGTACTTAGACAAATAAACAAAATATGTGCACAATCTAAGAGTGATGCCAAACTAATATTCTTAAAATTGACTTCTGGTTTATTCTAGTATCTACTCCATGACCAATGTAAAGATTTTAGAACCGTAAAGGAAATCTGGTGTGACAAAGACTATATATCTGTATGAAAAATAAAAAGTCTAAACACATATCATGTGGTAAAGATTCTATAAGAAGAGTAGGCAATTTAGTTTGAATGCACAGCTTAAAAGTAAACTTTATTCATATTCTAATGCCTAAGACTGTCTTCACTGATCACACTAGCCAGCTGAGCAGGGTATATCATCATCGTGAATAAATGAGAAATGAATAGCCCACACTTGCCCTGCCAAGAAAAATGAAATTGCTTAAGTATACCTTATTGCAGATTGAACTAGCATATGTTTTGGCTCTGACCCTTTTCTAAAAACTCTCAGGTGAAATGAAATGGAACGATGATTGAACAACTTCCAATTAATTAAAAAGCAGTCATTAATCAGTGTTGCTATAGTTGGAGGTCCAAATAATTTTATTACACTTCTAATAATTCTTTTATGCATTACTGCTTTGCTGTTTTTATTATATTAACCTTGAGTATTTTCAATAAGACAGAGACTCCAAACTTTACTTCATTCACATTATCAGAACGTTTCAACAGGCAAATGTTTCTAGGATTTTTGTGTTACTTTAACAAATGTCATTAATTAAAGAAAACTAGCCAGACAAGGTGGCTTGCAACATAGTCCCAGCTACTCAAGAGGCTGAGGTGGGAGGATCACTTGAGGCCAGGAGTTCAAGACCAGTCTGAGCAACATAGTGAGACCCCATAGTGAGTCTCAAAAAAGAAAAACAAAATTAACAAAAGGAAAAAGAAAGTTAATAAATAAATAAATAAAGATAACTAAACATAACTTCACTAAATCCTTATATTTTATATGATTATAAAATCAAAAGGTGATACTGGAGACAATTCTTTTCTTGGTCCTATTAGTTATCAAAATGGCAATGAATTGGTCCCATTTATTGTGAAATAAGTAAAAAAAACAATGGGTTCCCTTACTAAATGCTATATTGAAAAAAATTTACATACAATTGTATCATTATGAGTTGTGATTAAGTTGTTAGATAATTAATTTTTAAGATTATCTTCTCTATAGAGCTATTTTATGCTGTAACTTTTTAAAATTTCACATAAAGTAATATTATCTTCATATGTACAGAAAATCAAATTTCAAGATTGGTACCTATAATTCAGATTCAACATAAATTCATGCATTTTTTGGTATCACCTGTATAGAGTACTATCTATGAGCAAAATATTATTTGTTGTGGGTTAGGAGAAAACTGATTAGGACTGGTGTCTATTCTTAAGGACATTACAATTTAGGAGTAGTTATAAATTGACCAGATTTGTAAATTTTGGTAAGTAATAAGTATGCAAATTATGCTGAATTCCAGGGAAATTAGATTGAAGTGAACTGTTATATAAAC